TCTAACTTTGGGCTTAATTTGTTCTTTTTCTAGGTCCTTGAGTGTAAATTTAGGTTATTTATTTGAGGTCTGTTTTCTTAATATATACATTTATCACTATAAACTTCCCTCTAAGAACTGCTTTTGCAGTATCCCATAGCTTTTGGTAAGCTGTTTCCATTTTCATTTGTCTCAAGATATTTTTTTATCTCCCTTTTGATTTCTTCTTTGATTCACTGGATGTTCAGGAGTGTGTTGTTTAGTTTTCACATGTTTGTAAATTTTCCAGTTTTCCTTTTGTTGTTGACTTCTAGTTTCATACTATTGTGGTCAGAAAAGATACCTAGTATGATTTCAATCTTCTTAAATTTTCTAAGACTTTTTTTGTGGCCTATCAAGTGATTTATCCTGGATAATGTTCCATGTGCACTTGAGAAGAATATATATTCTGCTGCCATTAGATAGAATGTTCTGTAAGTGTCTGTTAGGTCCATCTGGTCTAACATGTAGTTTAAGTCCAATGTTTCCTTATTGATTTTCTGTCTGGATAATCTATTCATTGTTGAAAGTGGGGTATTGAAGTCCCCTGGTATTATTGTATTGCTGTCTATTTCTCCCTTCAGGTCTGTTAATATTCGCTTTATATATTTAGGTGCTCCTTTTATAACTTTAAGATTCTATTTTTTCCTCTCTTTCCCAGACTACAATAGAAGATATCAACAGATAGCTAACTTCCTCACTATACCTGACTTCAGAAGTTTAGTCAATTCCAAATCTGATATCTCCATTACATAATTTCCCTAACATATTCCCTCTTCTTGTTATCCTGGTTTAAAAAAAAAATGCTTGTATTTCACTAGAACTGTTAAAAACACTTGTTAATCAGGCAGACTCTGTACGTCTTTGTAGTGGATGCTGTGGTGCACTGCCCAGATTTCTCTTCAGGACAAAGGCATGCAATCCCCCAATACTGTCCAGACTGTTGCCTGCTGACAGCTTAATGCCTCCCTATAAACTGCCCTCAGCTGAAGGGAGCTGCCTCATTCAAGTTTATAAGCCTGGGGCATCCACACCCAATGATCCAGGGATAAGGACATACAAAAGCCCAGCTCCTTTACCTCAAGTCAAGGCAACCCTGAACAGGGCCATCCCTCCTCCAGAACCTGCCTTGGAGTCCATTAGGTCTTTGTTGCAACTGCCTCACAATCCAACTTCTCTCTCTCCCTAGTTCTATTTCCCTCACTCCCTTCCCGGTATTACCAAGAGTACTCTGCAATAAACTTTCTGCATACAAATCTCCATATCAGAATCTTTTTCCTGGGGAACCCAACCTAAGATACTCTTTCACGGCTCTCCTCTAGTTCTTCTGCCACTGTGCCATCAAAACTGGCTTTCCTGCTTGAATCACATCTATGCTCTCTCCCCCAATATCATCTTCCAAGAATTTCATTTCACTACTTTATGTAATTCACTTCCCTTGCCCCCTCATCGGTAAGCATTTAACTCCATTAAGTTGACTGGAAAAGAGGTGGTAATTCCCCTAAATCAAACATTTATAATTAGAAGTCATGGTTACTCAGGGTTTTTTATTGGAGTATAATATACTTACAGAAAAGTGCACAAATCACATGTGCACAGCTCAAGTTTTACAAAGTGAATACACTTGTGTAGTCAGCACTGAAATCATGAAATAGATCATTACCAGCACTCCAAAAGGCCTCTTTGTGCTCTCAATCATTAATACTTCCCAAAGTTAACTACTTTGTAGACTTCAATACATATAGGTTGATTCTGCCTGTTTTTGAAATTTATATAAAGGGAATCACAAACTATACATTCTTTTGTATCTGGTTTCTTTTGTAAACATTATGTTTGTGAAAGATTTATCCATGTTTCTGGGTTTAGTGTTTGTTCTTTCATTTGTATTACTGTTTAGTATTCAACTAGATGAAAACATGTGGATTTAGCCATTCTAGTCTCAAGGAACTTTGGGTTGTTTCCAGTTTGCAGATTGTGGTAAGCCAAATAATGACACTTCACAGATGTTCATGTCCTAATCTTCAGAAGCTGAGAATCTGTTATCTTACGTGGGCAAAAGGAACTTTACTGAAGTGATTAAGGATTTTGAGATGAGAATATATACATAGACCATCCAGGTGAGCCAAAAGTAATCACAAGGGTCTTTATAAGAGGGATGCAAGACTGTCAGAGAAGAAAGCCACGTGACAACAGAAACAAAAGGAGAAAACACAATGCAATGTAGGGCTACAAGCCGAGGACAGCCTGTAGAAGCTGGAAAGGGCATGGAAAGGGATTCTTCTCTAGATCCCCCATATGGAAGCAGCCTGCCAACACCTTGATTTTGGCTCAGCGAAATCCATTTTGGACTTCCGACTTCAAGAACTATAAGAGAATAAATCTGTGTTGCTTTAAGTCATTAAGTGTGTGATAATTTGTTATAGTAGTAATGGGAAACTAATACAAAAATATTACAAATAATGTTGCTATGGACATTCTTAACTTTTCTTTTGGTGTGTACATACACTCGTTTCTTTTGGGTACAGACCTAGGAATGGAAATTCTAAGTCATGGGGTATCACATATTCAGTTTTAGTACATACTGCCAGTTTCTCAAAGTGGGTAAATTAAACTCTCAAAAGTAGTGTATCTGAATTGCAGTTATTCCATATCTTTGCATCACTTGATATTGTCAATTTTTTTAATATTATTTTAGCCACTCCAGTGGGTACATGGTAGAGTTTTATTGTGGTTTTAATCTGTATTCCCACCGTGACTAGTGATGTTGAGCAATTTTCACATGTTTATTGGCCATTTGTATAACCTCTTTTATCTAGTACTTTCACAAGTGTCTTACCCATTTTTTAACTGGGTGGTTTGTTTTTTTATTGGTTTGTGTGAGTTGTTTATATATTTTGGATGAGTCCATTGTCACATAAATTAGGACATTTTGAAAGTAAGAAAGGAAGCATTCTGGTGGCTCTGCCGGAAATCCTTGTAAAACCTCTGACAGCTACAATGCTGATACTGTGACTTATCATAAGCATTCAATGTAATATGGCTGAAAATCTAGATTAAAAGGTACTTCAGAGCAGGGACTAAAAATTTCTCCTATCTCCTTTGTATCCCCTGCAGATCCTACGCACCAAGTACACATTGAGTGTACACTAAATATACATTTAAATGAAAGAGTCTCATAAAGTAAACAGAATTCATTTATCTTTCAAAGTAAGGACTTCCTGGTAACCAGCCGGTCACAATTACTAAAGCTCAAGTAAATGTATACCAGCCAAGTACCAGGGAGTCCCAGGAACCAGATAGAACCAAGAAGCATACTTTCACAGGGTATTCAAAGACATCTTAGAAAGAGAGAATGAAATTGCAGTGATGCAGACATTGCAGACAGAGAATGACACTATCACAGTAGTTACATATCAGAGGAATAAAATGAAGAAATAAATAGGAAAATGAATCTCTAGAAACAGGAACAAGTCAATCATAATAAACTAGAAGAAGGAGTTCAGGGTAAGGTTATTAACAATATTAAGCCAAGAGATACTCATTTTTATATGACAAAAGTCTTATTGGAAAGTATTTGAAGAAAGACTGGTGTAGGGAAGTATTGTCTGAAGATTCACTGTTGTAAAAAGAATAACAAAAGCACTCCACGGGGCCAGCCCTATGGCCCAGTGGTTAAGTTTGGCACACTCTGCTTCAGCAGCCTGGGTTCAGCTCCCGGGTGCAGACCTATACCACTCATCGGAAGCCACGCTGTGGTGGTGACCCACATATAAAATAGAGGAAAACTGGTACAGATATTAGCTCAGGGTGAATCTTCTTCAGCAAAAAAAAAAGGGGGGGCATGCCCCATCAGAATTATTATGGTTTTTAAAAATATCTTTTGTTCAAATTTTTTTTTTTTTTTGGAGAGGAAGATTGGTCCTGAGCTAACGTCTGTTGCCAATCTTCCTTTTTTGCTTGAGAAAGATTGTCCCTGAGCTAATACCTGTGCCAATCTTCCTCTATTTTGTACATGAGACGCTGCCACAGCATGGCTTGATGAGCAGTGAGTAGGTCCGCGCCCAGGATCCAAACCTGCGAACCCCGGGCCACCAAAGCAGAGCACGTGAATTTAACCACTACACCACTGGAAAGGCTCCCCAAATATCTTTTTATTTAATAAACTGGGGAAGCCTAGGGCAAATATGATATCCAAATTTTCTTTGAACAGCATCCAGTAAGTGTTGTTTCTTAGACAGTTCCAAAGAGATTAGAATACAAGTAAGTAGTTCACCTCACAAAAGAATGAAGCCTATATATAATAACCAGATGAAAGATTTTTTGATAAGGAAAAACAACCAAACAGCTTTTGGAGTCAATGGCCAATTGAGGAAAATTATGGGAAAAATGCAGTAACTTGAAACAAGTAAACACAGTATTGACATACCAGTGAAAACAATACAAATATCTAAAGTCCAACCTATTTAAGGTAAAATTCTGCCTTAACCACTAAGGTTATTCTAGTCATTTGCTTTAACAAGCTTTGTCTTATCTGGACTGAATTTCAATATTTTTTTAAAAATAAGACTAAGTAATATTTTGAAAAGTATCTTTTGTCATTACTTTTTCTGTCATGTTTTTAAGAAAATAAGTGACATCCATTTATTCATTCAATAGTTATTTACTGAGTACCTACTATGTGCCAGGCACAATATTAGAACATATATATACACATGAGAGCTGCTTTAGTGGAATTTATAATATAGAAATCAGGTCTGTGTTCTTTAAAGGTAACACTGATGACAGATAAGAATGGATAAGAAAATTTTCCTTTTTTCCATCTAAAACTTTTTAAGATTACTGTAAATCAAATCGCTTTTAACATCTAGATGACTCTAATGCATTTCAAAACTGTGCAAAGTGATTTGTTTTAAAAAGTTCATTAGTCTAAGATTTTCAAAATTTAACTACTCAAACAACGTACTACTAGCAAATGGTCTTACCTAAAAGCAGCACAACACATTTAAGTAGTCTACAATCAAAACTGACGATAATGTTAGCCTCTGACAGTTGCCAGTGAGCTTTCAATGTTTAATATGGAACTCTGTTGCTAAGTAGCATGGTCAACAAAATGTTTGTTTAGTGGACATGTGTGTTTTTTATATGCCGAAGATCATTTTCTTTAGGGAATAACCCTCCTCCATGTTACGTCATTCTAATAAGGCTGCCGATGGGGCCAGGTAGATAATTCAGCTCTGAGTAAACACAGTATCATTATTTTTCTGCACAGAGTAATTGGTCTGAAAATGGGCATGTGACTGAAGCAAAGACAATAAGAATTCCTCTCCGAATTGATACTGGGCAGACAGTACAGCATAGTGGTAACACACACAGTCTGCCTGGATTTTAATTCTTGCTTGGCTCTATCACTAACTAGCTGAATGATTAAGCAAGTTACTTAATTAGTCTTCCTCTTAATTTCCTCATCTTTAAAATGTAGCTACTAATAACACCTTCCTCATGGAGCTATTATGATGATTAAATACAGCAAAATACATAAAGAACTTAGCATAGTAACTGGCATATAAAAAGTGTTAAATTTAACATTAGCTATTACTACTATTATTATTACTATTGCTATTGCTTTTGTTACTGGTGTAATAAATACAGGATGATATTGCTAACTTTGGACAGTGTGGCCTAAATATGTAAGCAGCCTGTCTCTGTCAATTGCAGAGCAGATATAAAAAAATTTTTGAATCCAACTAATAAAAGGAGCAGAACTAAGAGAATACAGGAGAAGAGTCCTAAAGACATTCTTTGAGCCCCTGTATCCAATCATCTACTGGACTTCCCAGTTATATAAGCCAATAATTTTTTTTCCTTAAGCTAATTTAAGTTTGGATTTTTAATCAAAAAAAAAGTACTGACTACTATAATATCTTAAATCTAGAAATCACAAAATGAATGGAAATATATACACACACACACATATCAAACAGCTGGCTTTTCATTATTTATTGCTACAGTAGCCACACACACACACATACACACACACACACACAAGGAAAGCAGCTTTATTGTATATTCTCAGAATATAACTCTACTGAGTGGTAATATCTGCTGCCCTAGAATCTTGGCCCAATCTTCAAATTAATATCCTGTTTTCTTTAATATCCTATTACAGTATTTTCAGGAAACTTCAAGCAGACTAGTGTGGGTAAGACGGGAAAAGGGGAATAATGCAGATGAGGTTGGAAAGGTAAATCAATCAGATTATCGTGGACTTTGTATGTCATATTAACGAATTTAAAATTTATTCTGTTGAAAATAAGGATGCATGTTTTTAAGAAAATAAGTGGCATCCATTTATTTATTCAATAATTATTTACTAAGTACCTGCTATGTGTCAGGCATGATATTAGAACATATATATACACATGAGAGCTGCTTTAGTGGAATTTACAATATAGAAATCAGGTCTGTGGTGTTTTTTTTCCCTCGGTTTTTTTTTTTTTTTTTTTTTTTTTTTGAGGAAGATCAGCCCTGAGCTAACTACTGCCAATCTTCCTCTTTTTGATGAGGAAGACTGGCCCTGAGCAAACATCCATGCCCATCTTCCTCTACTTTATACGTGGGATGCCTACCACAGCGTGGCTTTTGCCAAGCAGTGCCATGTTCGCACCCGGGATCCGAACCGGAGAACCCTGGGCTGCCGAGAAGCAGAACGTGTGAACTTAACCGCTGCGCCACCAGCTGGCCCCAGGTCTGTGTTCTTTAAAGATAACACTGATGACAGGTAAGAATGGATAAGAAAATGGGTTAAGAATAGATACAGGGGCTTGCCCAGTGGCCAAGTGGTTAAGTTCGTGCGCTTCGCTGCAGGGGGCCCAGTGTTTCGTTGGTTCGAATCCTGGGTGCGGACATGGCACTGCTCACCAAACCACGCTGAGGCAGCCTCCCACATGCCACAACTAGAAGGACCAACAATGAAGAATATACAACTATGTACCGGGGGGCTTTGGGGAGAAAAAGGAAAAAAATAAAATCTTAAAAAAAAAACTGAGTGGATTAAAACTAATTGCAAGATTCAAGACCAATATACAAAAATGAATTGTATTTCTATACACTAGCAATGAACATTCCATCAAAAAGAATAATATACTTAGATATAAATTTAACAAAATAAGTGTGAGATTTGTACACTGAAAACTACAAATCATTGTTAAAAGGAATTAAGACAAATAAATGGGAAGATATCCCATGTCCATGGATCAAAAGACTTAATATCAACATGGCAATTCTCCCTAAATTGATCTACAGATTCAATGCAATCATTATCAAAACCCAAGCTGGCTTTTTTAAGGACATTGACAAGCTAATCCTAAAATTCAGATGGGAATTCAAAGGACCCAGAGCAGCCAAAACAATCTTGAAAAAAATAAACAAGTTTATTCATTTCCCAATTTCAAAAGTTACTACAAAGCTACAATAATCAAAACAGTGTGGTACTGGCATAAGGAAAGACATATAGATCAACAGAATAGAATTGAAATTCCAGAAATAAACCCTTATATCAATGATGAATTTATTTTCAACAAGGGTGTCAAGATAATTCAATAGGAAATGAAGATCTTTTCAAAAAACGGTGCTGGGAGAACTGTCTATACACACGCAAGAGAACAAAGTTAGACACCTAGCTCACCTAATATAAAATTAACTCAAAATGGATCAAAGACCTAAATGTCAGGGCTAAAACAATAAAACTCTAAGAAGAAAACAAAGAAGTAAATTTTCATGACCTTGGGTTAGGCAATTCTTCATAGATATGACACTAAAGCACACGCAACAAAAGAAAAAAAAAAGATAAGTTGGACTACATCTAAATTAAAAGTTTTTGTGCATCAATGGACATCAAGAAAGTGAAAAAACAGTCCACAGAATGGGAGAAAGTATTTGCAAATCACATATCCAATAAAGGACTTCTCTGCAAAATATACAACTCTTAAAACTCACTAATAAATAAAAAGACAACTCAATTTAAAACTGGGCAAAGGATTTGAAAAGACATTTCTTCAAGGAAGATATAAAAATGGCCAATGAGCACATGAAAAGATGCCCAAAATCATGAGTCATTAGGGAAATGCAGTCAAAATTGCAATGACATATCACTTCATACATACTACGATGCATATAATCAAAAAGACAGACAATAACAAGTGCTGTGAAGGATACAGAGAAATTGGAACCTTCATACATTGCTGGTGAGAATGTAAACTGGTGCGGCTGCTTTGGAAAACAGTTCCTCAAAAAATTAAACATAGGGTTACCATATAGCCCAGCAAGTCCACTCCTAGGTATATATCCAAGGGAAATGGAAACACACATCCACACAAAAACTTGTACACAAATGTCCATAGCATCATTATTCATCATAGCCAAAAAGTGGAAACAATCCAAATGTCCATCAACTGATGAACAGATAATAAATGTGGTATATCCATTCAATGGAAGATTACTCGGTCATAAAAAAATGATGTATTCTAATGTTATGACACGAATGAACCTTGAAAACATTATGCTAAGTGAAAGAAGCCAGACATAAATGATCTCCTATTGTATGATTCCATTCATATGAAATAATCAGAACAGGCAAATTCATGCAGGCAGAAAGCAGATTAGGGGTTGCCAAATTAGTGCCTGGGAGAGGGGGTGATGGAGAGGGACTGTTTAATGGATACAGGGTTTCCTTTCAGGGTGATGAAAATGTTCTGTAGCTAGACAGTGGTGACGGTTGCACAACTTGTGAATGTACTGAACGCCACGGAACTGTACACTTTAAAATGATTAAACCAGTAAATTTTATGTGTATTTTACTACAATAAAAAAGAAAAGAAGTACAGATACATGTTACACCATGAATGACCCTTGAAAACTTATACTAAGCAAAAGAAGCCAGTCACAAAAGACAACAGTTGCATGACCTTATTTATATGAAATGTCCAGAATAGGCAAATCCACAGAGACAGGAAGTAGATTAATGGTTGCTTCGGTCGGAGAAAGGGAGGAATGAGTACTAATGGGTACAGGGTATCTTTTAGGGGAACAAAAATGTTCTACAATTAGATCCTGGGGATGTTTGAACTCTGTAAATATAATCAAAAGCACTGAATTGTACACTTAGAAAGGGTGAATTTATGATATGTGAGTTATATTTCAACAAAGTTGGAGAGAGAGAGTAAGAGAGAGACAGAAAGAGAACTGAGTAAGAATTAGCCAGGAAAATTAAGGGTTAGCAAAAGATAGCAACAATTAAAACAAGATATAGCACAAGGATATAGGAAAGGGTATAGAACAAGATCATCTTTGTTCCTGAACATTCCCTACATCTCATTCTAGAGTAATTAATTACTACCTAACTGTATGACTAAGAAATTTAGGATACTGTTGCATAGGAGGAATAGAAATATATCCTGGAAGAAGTAACCAACAAATGTTCACTACAAAATGAAAATACAGGCAAATATATACAAGCAAGTATTAAGTAGAACATCTAAAAATGAGAGAGTTCCCATGTTATGGACTCCATTTCCCCAATGAAGTAGGAAGTCAGGTCACCAATCGAAAGTGAAAAGTTATCAGAAAAGAGTTGAGAGTTTAAGAAGAATAATAAAAGTTTGGGAGTATCCCTGAAAGAACTGGGAAAGAGAGTGTTCTTGTTTTCTGACACTCAAAAACTCTACAGCACCAGTCTTAACAGTATAGTAGACCTATTCTTGACCTTTTTCCACCCTTGGTAAAATTCTATATTTCAGTATTCTCAACTTGCTCTTTTTCAGAGTTAAATAATTATATTACTACAATTCTACAGGATCAAAATATTTGCTGAAAAACTAATCACAAAATCAGAACCAAGATTTACTTCTCTCTCTCCTCTTCACTTTAGCACCCTTATATCTAACAAAGACCACCAGAGCTAAAGAGTCGCTGGAATGCAGCTTCGTGAAAATGTACCTAGACTATTTTGTCCCTACTCAGTGCACTGATGCTTTGTATTCCTATGCTCAGTGTTAATCTTAATGAGAGACAATGAGCTTCTGTACACATACATGTCTTTAGCCCACATGTCTGTCAAGTCTTAGATGAGAGCGCAAATAGGACCCAACCAGAGTCCCCAGTATGACGCTTCTCTAAAGATGTGGCTAAAAGTGTGAAAATGGAGCTACATCATATAACAGCCAATCTTTCACTCTCACTTTCGTTCTCTCTCCCTCTCTCCCAGCCTCTCTTGCTCTCACTCTTACAAAAAGATGGCCATGCCTAAGCCCTAAAAAATGTGAACAGCAATGACAGGATACTTGGAATAAACTCAAAGTCTCCCAAGGTGACCACTATAAAGGAAACAATATTCACTGAAAGGTATAGGATCTGATCTGTTTATTAAAAATCAGTTCATTTTTTCCTATAATCATATTTCAAATAAATACACTTGAGATGAGAGCTAGAGAGATTAACTTTAATGCATGTGTTACAAAAGTTGTGGTCCCCCTCCATACAGGAAAAAGGAGGACCAAGAACATGCAACAGACTTGGACATTGCAGTGCAACAGTACAGACTCTGATTTAAGGCCATAAAAACAGGCCAGGAAAAAAACATTTACCTATATAAAGATCTTGAGTAACTCAGTCAAGCACCTGCTAATTCATGTTTTTGGTTCTCAAGTAGCTAGTATTTATTAAGTCAAGATTATTAGGAGCGTACCTTTTTGTTTTGTTGCTGTTGTGTTGTTGTTGCTAGTGTGAGTAGGGAAGTGTTTTGTTTTGTTTTGTTTTGTTTTGTTTTGTTTTGTTTTGTTCAAAGGAAAATGTTTCTCAATGGATCAGGACTGCTATTTGTTTATGTATCTCTTGACTTCCACCACAGTCATAATAGATAATTTTAATCATTACAGAAGCAATACATCAGATGTCAAGACATAGTAATTAGCTCATATACCAAATGTTAAAGCAGCTATCCCTAAGAGAAAGGAGTACTTCCTTTATATGTCCTAATTTTCTAAATTGATGCAATGAACATGACTTTCTTATTTTAAAAATACATAATCTCTCGGAATTCCTATTATTTTTATCTATCCAAATGAAAGTCTCTAAAGTAAAAAGTGTATGAAAACTGTTCTTCATAAAGCCTATACAGTAGTAGATTATTATTAATATGAACAATTGAGATAATCCCTTAAGATGTATATATTTCAGATTCTTGATCACAGAAGGGAAAAAACAGCAGGAAGCCGTACTCTGTTAAATTAAGCCAGATAGTATAAAAAGCTCATGACCAATTATTTGGAACAGCTGCAAGTGAGTCACCGTACTAAATTTTAAAACCAATCTAACTTTCTCAAACGAATTCCAAAAGACATTTAAGAATTTAAAGATACAGATGGTAATTTTGGTTGTTGGTTTGTTTTCATTGGTCTCTGGTTGTGGGGGGGG